TGACTATATTATATTAAAACAATTAATTTATGTTAAATTTAAGATGCACTAATCCAGCTGTTTCAGTTTATATACATATATCGAGGCTGCACAAACCTTTTCTTCAAAATGAAAATCTATCTGAGGGCTGCGGCCAAATACAATAATATAATTCATGAAATACAAATACTTCTTAAGTCCTTTTATTTTAATGATTATGTCCTGCTGGAGTGTGACATGATTTGTTTGTGTACAAACTAATACGGTATCAGAATTTTATGTATTTATACTTCTCATTCAACCACAATTAAATTCAATTTTACTAAGAAGGCACAATTTTTATGGATAGTATTTATTTTTTATAATAAGTTGGAATGAAAACAAGTAAAAATGAAATAAAGAACTTTCTACTTTTTGCCTTTTTAAAAATGTAAGTAGTAGAAAGTACTGATAACTGTGTGAAAATGTAAGAAGTAGAAGTAAAAAGTAGGCTGAAAAATAGTTACTCAAGTAAAGTACAGATACACAAAAATTCTACTTAAGTACAGTAACAAAGTATTTGCACTTAGTTACTTTACAACTCTGGTATAAAATACAATATTGCATCTAATATTCAGTTAGTCAGTTACAAAATTTCCTTCAGAGCTGTTAATGTGTAGCTAATATTGACTAAACCTCTTTGTGTGAGGGCCAGGTAAAGAGTTTTTGTACAGAAGCAGAATGTTAACATTAGCTAGCTAGCTTTGCTAACATCACATAGCTTACCTTTTTAGTGCTTCCTTTCTAACTGACGATAAAAGTTTAACATAGTCCCCGTCATCTCTGAAAGTGAAACAATGCACAATTTACAGGTTGCTGTAAGTTTTTTCCTGGACGTTGTTTTACAGATATATTCTTTATGATTTATGTAGCTGGATTATGCAGTATTACTGAAGAATTTACACATATTCTGCTCCCAGACAACCACTGCTCACTTTCTTGGAGTGTCGCAATAACTAAAAGGGGGCGGAGATGGGTGACAGCAGTAACAAAAATACATAACTGGCAATGAGTCACGCTTGGATTGGAATCAGAACGCTTTACATCCAATGAAAGCAGGAATGATAACAAAAACATTGTACAATATTCTGGCAATTTAGTGATATTCCCGTAGTTTTGGTTTTGACTAGTCTTGAAATAAATTCCAGTCCTCAATGTTCGAGTACAAATGTGGTAGAGCAGGGGTGCCCAAACGTTTTCCCTGAGGGGGCCAAAATGAAAATCTATCCAGGGCAGTGGGCCAAATACAGTAATATAATACATGAAATACAAATACTTTTTAAAGTAAAGTCCCTTATTTTTAACCATTAAGCTGTGCAATGGTCCTCTTTTGTTTTATAGTCTGTGCACTTGGAGAAAGTCTGCCATACGCTCAAGTAGGAAAGGCTCATGGGACATTTCATAAATTGATAAAATATGAGTTTTTGTGGTCTTATAAAGTGTGCAAATCTACATGTGTGGTTAAATCTGAACAAAATATTTCTGGTCATTTCATGTTTCACGTTTAATCCTAAAAAAATCAAAGATAAAGTCAGCACAATGAATGAAAACTACCTTCACTACCTTTTATTTAAAAGGGCTGTATACAGCCCTTTTATATATGTATACAGCCCTTTTTATGTAGTCATTTGACCAATGGAAATACTGTGTATCCTGTATACATAGGATAATAGGTTACAACCTTGTAACTTTGGCAACTGTTGGTGGGCCAAATCAAATGGCTTGGCGGGCCAAGTTTGGCCCGCGGGCCCCACTTTGGGCTCCTCTGTGGTAGAGTCTATGATAAGACCATCAAAAAGTGGTCTTGAGTACTACACTACCCSCAGGTTTTGTCACTCAGGTCCCTTGTATAAGGTTTATTGCTAAGAAGCATCGTTACAACTAAAAAATAATCTACCAAACACACATTTCCTTACTTTTTATACTAAGTTTATATTGTCATTGCAGTATGTCATGCATTCATGCATTAATTATTGAGAAGGTTTTATTACCTCCTACACCATAATAAGCTGTTCTACTGCTTTGCATTGACATTATACAGTGTGTAGATTATATCAGTAAAGCAGCAGTGCCTTCTGATGTTGTTTGAGATGTGAATCTTCTTTTGTGTTCTTTCTTGGCGTAGATCACTCATGAAAGCAGCAGAGGGAGCAAACCAAGCATTTCACTTATCCCAGCAAGCAAACTTCCTACTGAACTAAACTCCTACTCACCTCAGAAAGCAGTCCCTCCTGGTGGAGGGCTGAACAACGAACTGGAAACAAAAATCCTACCTGCTTCCCAAAGTCACACACATCATCATCCCTTCACTCCACCCTTCTCGCGAAAGAGGAAACACGACATATTTCAGCACCAACCCACAAACCCTCCTCCCAAAACCTGCCAAATTAGACGTCCCCTGAAATGGCAGCCACCTTATTCTTCACAAGAGAAGGTGGCAGAAGAAGTGAGTGAGTCGAAGAAAGCCAGGCTGGAAAACTTGGCTTTACTTAGAGAATCCCTGATGAAAATTGATCCGTGTGTTCGTTCAGATCCAGATAATCAGAAGCAAACTCAACAAAGTTGGGAGTTCAAATCGAAAAAAACGTGTGCTGAAACGTCAAAGACTGCTTCTAAACAGACTCTTCATTCCAAAACGTGTAAAGACACGTGGGCCAAATTTAGGACTGACTTTTCCACAGATGGGACCAGAGGTTTTCTTGATGGAATTAACGGTAGCGAGCCACAAAATCAATCTAAAACTGGCTCCCACCCTACCTCCCTAACATCTGACTCCAGGGTGAAGGATTCTGGTCAACTAACCCCAGAGGAGAAGCTGCAGGTTCTTGAGGAGACCGAAGGGGCCAAGGTGGTGTTGCTAACCTTGGTGTTTCGAGAYGGAACCACTCAGTTAGACCCAGAACAGGTGAGAAGAAACAACACAGTCAACAATATTGAAATAAATGAATAGAAAGTTGTAAACTTTGAAATAAGGGAATTGATGCTGATCAATTTAAGTTGGTAGTATAGATCAGGGGTTCTTAACCTTTTTGACCTCGGGGCCCAATTTGTTGAACATAAAGTGGCACGAGGCCCAGTCAGACATTACCAATGTATGGATCAAAATGATAATTATTCTAAATCTTGGTTTAAAATGAAAATTATTCTAAATCTTGGTTTAATTTGTATTGTATTTACATTATAACTAAACTGTCATAACTAAAATAACTAAATTAAATACACTTAGAATTTAAAAGTAAAACTCCTGTCCAATAATCACAAGACATGATTATGACAAACATTTCTATATTGTAACCTGCCCATAACAATTATTTGAACAAATACAAAGGTCCGTCAACAGACCACTAGGCTTATCAGCACAAAAA